AGGTTGAAAGTTCGTTCGTTATAGTTTCGCTAGTGCAGTACAAAAAATACGGTTCGTGATTTGTCGGTACTTTCTTAGTTTGTGTTGTGTTCAAGTTGAAAAGTTTAAAACGACACTCTAAAAAGTTCCGCGCGAAAAAAGTCCGAGTAAAAACAGTACGGTATTTGTATATGTGATCCGCAAGCAAAGTTCAGTTTCAGTAATAAAGTATTAAAAAAAAAGTTTTTAACACGTTGAATAAAAAAAGAGAAAAAAAAGTCGAAAGTTGTGATATAAAGAAAGTATGTTCGACATGATATGGATCGCGCGCGTTGTGCCATCAAGAGCGAATACTTCACAGACTCTAATTGATCCAGGTAAGCTCTGTGATGCTACTGATGCAGATTATTCACTGCTACATTCGGTCGGTACGTCTAAAAGAAAAAAAAAGTTAACTTACCAAATAAGAGGGAGATTGGAATGAGTTATATTTAAAGATCTTAATCAAAACATTCCCGTTCTCGTCCGATTTAAAATTATCCGCCGCCTTCTAATGAATCTCATTGATTTACAGGCTGAAATACAGTTCGACATGTCCGACTCTGGTACAGACAGTACTTCAACGGAGGGTTATGATGAAGGTAATCGATTTACTTCGGCCGGGGATGAGGTAACATCATCACGCTATTCGCATCACTCTTCCGGATCGGAGCGACAAAAGTCCGCTGCGAACTCCATCTTCTCCGGGGAAAAATCTCCCCGATCGCCGTTAACTGATGGCGAATCCAAGTCGCCGCGGTCTCCTCCGTTATCACCGAAATCGCAGCGATCCGGGATAATGTCTCCTAGTGAGGAAGGTTCTCCAAGATCAATTCGTAGTTTATCAAAATCTCCACCGCCAATGTCACCGCCACAGTCACCCGAATCGCCAGCATATCGCCCTCCCACATCGCCGACATATCAACCGAATGACTCGCCAAAGTCCTACCATTCAGGAAACAATTCTCTTGATTCACCCCTATCGGATCAGAGTCTGTCTCGATCGCCCATACAGGATAACGGATCGTGTCTCTCTCCCTCGAACGATTCTAAATCTATGCGCTTTGAAGACGCCGAGTCGAAGGCGTCTGACCTTGAAACAGATATGCAAAGATCTGTCGACAACTCATTAAAATCATACTCGTACAAGAACAGCGAGTCCAGGCAAAGTTCACCAAAGTCGCCTAGATCTGGTCCGAGTTCCGTGAAATCTTTAATATCGGCGAGGAGTTCACCGAAGTCGTTCAAATCCGGTCCGGCGTCTCCTATGGATGATCACGAATCGGACAAACCCTCACCAATGCATTCAGGTCCTCGGTCTCCCGAAGAGGAAAAGAATGGGTCCTATAACGAATTGGACGGTGAACAAATCTCGGATGGGGACATTGAGGACGAACCAGAGCCCATGTCTAAATCTAAGCCTACACCTATGACCCATAGCGAGGATTTATCGGACGTATCGGATCTTGAGAGTATAGATGGTCCTGAAGATTCCAATGATCAAAACATAGAAGACAAGGCTCAAGAACAGATTGACAAACAAGAAATCACTAATGACGAAGAAAATACGAAAAAAGAAGATAAAATTGCACCAGTTGGCTTGACAGAAGAAAGTGAGCAACTAGACTTTGAAGCTGATGGTCAATGGAAAGATGAACGTGACGAAGGTAAATATATAAATTTTAAATTTCAAATTCAATTTTTATATATTGAAATTGTATAGCTAAATATTATAATAAGATCATTCCATGAATAAAATTTCCATATATAACATTCCATATATAAAGTTGCATTTGCTATAAATATGATAAAATTATAGGTGAAGCTGAGACGCCTTCTGCAAAAGAGACTAAAGAGAATACGGAGAAGGATAACAAAGACAAAGATAAAGATAAAGACAAGGATAAGGCAAAAATAAAAGAATCTGGCGAAATAAATGATAAGGAAGAAGGAGAAGAGGGAGAGAAAGAGGAATCTGAGTTGGAGGAGGGAGAGCTTAGCGATGGAGATGACGCACGACCCGAAGAGACTGAACCCAGACCAGTATGTCGCTTCTATAGTCGAGGCCAATGCACATGGGGCGTTAGTTGTAGATTTTTACATCCAGGTGTGACAGACAAAGGTAACTACACTATGTTCGATATGGTGAGGCCTATGGCATATCCGCCACATGCCGCCGCGCCACACGAATATAGATCCCACATCGACAGACCGAGTATGCGATCATCGATACCTGGTTATGGTGCTCCTACACACACACCTAAGGTGGAAGAAACTCCGTCTGAATCTGCCTGGGAACGCGGTCTGCGTCATGCCAAGGAAGTAAGTTTAGTGCAAGATATTATTATGCATGGCACTGTGCATGTATTCCATTTATAATGTTTTATTAACAATTTTCAATCTAAAATTTATATAATCAAGTTTTAAAGAAGATATTTTCTCGCTTGATCTAGATGATGCGAAAGGCCAATAAACGCAAAGAATCTGACATGGATTTCGAAGAAAAGAAAATGAACTTGAGTTTAGGACAGGATGAACTGGATAGAGAAGCGGGATATTACGTAAGAGCTGCTAGTCCTGAGCCGCCAGTCGAAAGATGGTCACAACGAGAAGTACCACGCCGAGTATCATCTTCTAGACTAACGCCGGAAAGATATGTTGACGAGCCTGAAGGATATTATCCTCCTCCGTCCGCGTCAACTGATTATTATAGGTGAGACGAAACAGTTATATATGGCCAAGTTCTAATTAGAAAATTATTTCTATATTTCTATATTTCTATATTCAGTCCTACTGAAATATTTTGCCATCAAATCTATTTTTAATCTTTTTTTTTTAACAATTAGGCGAGTACATTACAAAGAGTCACGCGAGTATCGGGAGCGTTTTGATTATCATGCGATTCCTCGTGGTGCGCATTCGGTTTCTCCGCCACCTCACCACCGTGAACGCGAGAGAGAACGAGATCGTGAGCGTGATAGAGAACGTGATTATTACGAGAAGTATGAAAAGAAGCATAAGCGGCCGTCGCGGGAAGTCATTGTAGAACGTATCCCTCCATCGAAACCTTGGCGAGAGGAAGAACCACCTCCTACTGAAAGGAGTAGAGGTGACGAATGGGCGGATCCATGGATGCGGCGCAAGTCCCCGAGCACTGTACGCCGCAACACGTCGTCCCGCCGACAACCCCGACGGCAGTCTTATTCATCTGGATCTTCATATTCATCAACGAGGTATTACTTATATTCGTATGCGATTGATAATATTAGAGTCTTACAAAGAAGCGTTTTATATATAGAAATTCTCGGAAGATCTGAAGATGATTTATTGAGAATACATTCAATAATATTTCTCACATGAAGAGATAAAGAGAAAATGAAGATAGTCAAGAATGCGTTGTCTGCATTTTTTTCAAAGTGTTTATCGTGCTACTTTGTTATATGTATAAAAACGTATTGGAGTATCGTCTTTTTAGTTCTAGCCGTAGCTCCAGTCGTTCTAGCTACAGTTCTTACGACTCCCTATCCAGGTCTCGTTCACCTTCCCCTCCGACTAGAACTAGGTCTACTGGTAAAAGCAAGACCACTGTTCTTACTTCGCCTCCTTCGAATCCCCCGGCTGTCCCCGCAGCCACGCCTCAACGAGGTGCCATGCTAATGAATCCTCCCGCTCCCTCTCCTCGTCCACCCAAAGGTTCTATCTCTCCAACGGGCACGCTGCATCGAAGGGCCGGACTGAATCCACCTGCCCCAAGTCCACTATCGTCTCATCGTCATCACGACAAAGCCAGGGAGCAAAAGGCTGCTATGGCTGCAGCTGCTGTGGCTAAAATCATTAAAAGTCGTTCTAGATCTAGGTAAAAAGAGATGACTCTTATTAATCAAGTAGTTAAATTGAAAAGGTATAACTTCAAAAAATTTTCAATTTTTTGACGTTCTTACTAATTCTTGTGCTGATACGTGTGTAATCCGATGCAAAATTTAAGAAAAATTTATTTTAATAATATAACAAAGTTAGTATTATAAACTCATTCGATTAACAAATCTAATCTTAGAAGATATTTCTTGGTTATGTTGTTTATTAATGTGTATAAAGATAAAGGAACAAGGAAAGGAAAAAAAATATGTTTCAGATCGTCTCATAGTAGTTCGGGATCGGAGAGTAGTGGAAGTAGTAGCGACTCCAGCGAATCAAGTTATTCGTCATCCTCCAGCGAGACGCGTAGAAGAAAGGGTTCGACACCACCGATACCACGCAAAGATTCCAAAGGCATCGACGCTTTGAAGCTGAGTGGCGCGAAGCAGCAGATTAAATTAACTTTGAAGCCCACGAGCAACGCTACAGCCGTAAAAAAGATCGATCGTAGTGCACTTATGGCAGGTAAAAAGCGGAGCATTGAATCACCGCCGTTGATTGACAACAAGGCGCAAGTGGCCGCAGCGGCAGCTAAAGCTGCTAAGAAGGCGAGCTCACGACGCGAGGAATTATTAAAGCAACTAAAGGCCGTGGAAGATGCGATTGCGCGTAAAAGGTCGAAAGTTTAAATCGATTCGATTAACGATAGCGTGCGCTTTTCGCGAACAGGGATTGAAAACAGTATAACAAATATATAGATGTGAATGAAAGAAATTGATTGGTATAAATTTCGACACACATATGTATACCGATATAGAAATAATTTTTCGGAAAAACTAGCGTTGTCCAATTAAATAGATTTAGTACGCTGTGATATGTATTTTACAAAAAAGATGTTTAAAGATATATCATATTTATTGATGACAACTAAACTCACTGAAATTACAGATTATTTGTTCATTGTTGAAAGATAAAGAATGAAATAATTGTAATTAATTGTAAAGTTCTAAACTTCTTTATTTCCTTTTTTGTAATTTTTTTTTGTAAAATGTATTTAATAATATTATTAAAAAAACGCTACGAACTTTTTTCCACACTTAATATAATTGTAATGTCGATATATAATATCGATATTGCATATATACCGATATTATGAAACTCTTCTTCTTCTTTTACACTTCTCTTACACATTTTTAATGATTATATCGATCTAAATTCCAACTGAAAAGTTTTATAAAAATAGAAAAATATGCAATATCGGTATACAGTTGCTAACGAAATTATCTTTGTATTCGATTTCTGTTCGTGAGTGCGGATAAATACATATGTATTAAATGTTTATCTAAGTACACTGTATAATTTAGCTGCCATCATCACCACGAAATAACGAAATATGTGAGGCCTGTTAGATTGTGGTGGTATATATAAGTTCTTATTTTTACAATACAAGGTAGATTCTATTATTTACAATTTATTTCTTCACTAGACTTCTTTTTTCTTAGATAGACACTTAAACGTAATGGTTGATATTGTACAGTCTCACCGTGATTTTGTTTTAATAACACTCGAGTGATTATTTTTATGTAAAATGTAAAACATAAGAAATATATTATGCATAAGACAGGAAGTTATCTTGCATCTGAAAGTGCATATATGCATAGTTAATTATCCAGTGTTAATAATTAATTGAATTCTGTTAACACATATGCGCGTAAGGAATATAATTACGCGATGTGTTACAATTTTTCTAAAACAAAGCAGATTTGGAAAGTGATATTAACTGATGTAAATTGTCGTGTCTGTATAAATATATATTGTGTACTTTATTTTTATTTTAACATCAACATATTAAACATCTATAAAGCGGATTATAGAAGATCTCTATGTTGCCAAATATGAAAATTATTCTTCAATTATATTCGTAGGTAAAATCAACAATATTAATTTTGCTACAATTATACACAATGCTGCTAAATTAATATTTCCGTAAAATAAGTAGATGTTGATTTTGCTACAATTTAGTAGTAATCAATCAGAAATATATGTTATATTATTTTTCATTAATAGACAAAGAGGTTCAATCTGTAACAAAAGGATAAATTTTGCAAGTTATGTATCTGTTTTGTTATATCTCACGATGAACTGTTTTCTTTTTTTAAGCGAATGTTATTTTTCACGACACAATTCATAAACATGGTTCTTTTATTAATTGCCAAATTAAAAGCATTCAATAAAAATGATAAGTGACCTGCGATATTAGACGATCTTTCGTCTAACAATGCGGAAGAATAATTTTACGAATAACAGGGAATATATTCTCTCAAATATACAGCGATTGTACTACTCATGAGGAAGATTTCATAATAAGAACTATATATTTTGTACTTTTCTTCCGTGTATAAATATAGCATGGCATATAAACTCTATGTTAATTTCATGTCGTAAACACTGTTAACTTAAGAAAAACAGACGCTTTGTTAACAACAGTCTTTATTAAATAGTAAGTACAAAACAAAAGAGTGTTATCAAAGACACCGACTTTAAATTCTATACAAATAAATAATGTGTCTTTTTTTTCTTAACAACATTCCAGAACCGAAAAAACAGGCACACACTCCTGTTTATTATCTTATAATTATAAATAATTTGAAAGCAAAGTAGAACTTAAAACCATTCCAAGTTTAAACGAACTTGATTGTTCCAATCCAAATTCCAATGTATACATGAGTGTTTGAAATCCTTTGCTTACGAATAGAAAACTGAAGGAAGGCACCCGTATTTTTCAGACGAAATTATATATTTTATAATTCTTATATTCAAATCAATCTTTGTACTAAACATAAGAGAGCCCTATATATTTCCAGATTACTTATTTAAATATTATATGTATATACACTTTTTATATATTCGCCACGGTGCAACGTTTCAATTATTTAAGTATCTAGAAATGGAAATTTCGTAAATCAGACATTAAATAAGACATTATAAGTGTTTGGATATTCTCAGAATATTCAATTTCTATGTAAAAGATGGTCCATGCTACGCGATCACCAAATTGCACTTTAAGTATCAAGGAAACAAGAGTGCCAATCCGTGATCCGTTCACTGAGGATGTTTTTATCCCCTCGTGACAGATGCATCGAGATCCGCTTGTCTGATCGACGAATTCAGTTCTGAGGACTCTTGTATTGTTCTGATCGGCATTCCCATAAACCTTGGTTGATTGGTGCCGTTCAGCGTGCTACGTCTCACTCTGGTGTTGATCTCTGGATTAATCTTTATCTCGTTGTATTTAAAGATACCATCGCCAGGTGCTGGCAGGCCAATCTTGGGCAGCTTGTACCACCATTGATATGTAACATACCACGTAATGATCGCAGCTGCGCCACCCAGGAATTTCTCGATCATAATGTGATAGTAAAGCATTGTTGACACTAACATGATATCCCACAGTAGCTGCTGCAATGTCATTGCCACAAAAAGACCACGTAGATACGGCGTGAGTGCCCGATGAGCCTTTTTCAAGAACCCCAGATCATCATCTGAGAGATTACGCAACGGGCCAGTGCTAGTCTCAGTTGGCACAGACCGCGTGTGCTCTTCTCTCATTATCAAATCCTTGATACCCTCCCATCCTACCAGAGAGGAACCTTCTTCAGCAAGAATGAGGCTTGAATAAATTAAAATAAATGTATGTCCAGATATATCAAGACCACTCCAGAATCTACCTGACTGCAGACACTTTGCCTTAGACTGCACGTGAATGTCACGGGTGCCCAGACATCTGCCATAGTTGGTTTCAATATAATTGAACAGCTTTGTCCAGATCAACCAGGCACAAGTGGCAAGTATAATGCGGGCCAAGTGTCTCAGTAGAATTGGTCGACGGCCACAACCCAGTGTATGCGCTGTCAAGACGACCCAGGGTACAATTATGGACAGCAGCCAGCCCCAGCCCCACTTGACGAAGTACTGATTCAGGGCATTATCGGATCTGGAGAAATAGGTACGCGGCATCGCGATGAAGTCTGCGATCAGGGAAACGATGAATATCGTGCCGCAGTAGATGGCCACCTTGAGCCGGGTGTCAAACAGCAGGGACTTCTTGCAAACGTGCAGCAGCATGGTGACCAGGATAAGGCCGATCGAGCTCGGTGCTGCAGTCGGCCGAGTACCACCACGGTCCTCCTGTTGCGTGTTGCTCGGCCGGAAGTTCATTCGGCTCGAACGTGGACCACTGCCGGAATAACTAGAAGAGCCGGAGTTTCCGGACGATGTGTGGATGCTGCGTCGCTTACCTGTCGCCATCGCGTCTCAATTTTGATTATCGGTAGTCGACGTCACCTAGAACCATCGCACTGAGCTAACCTCTTGGGTAAGGAAGACGTATATCGTCTTGCGGAGGTTTTCAGCGTGCGACTGATTGTCTCAAATCCTTTTGCTTTCTCAGCTGTCGTGGACTTCGAGCAATCTGCTCCGTCATCCACTGGTTGACCCTCTCCCCACCTCGTTATTTTGCATCACTACGTATGCCATGGATGTCCTTTGCTCCCAGGTACTATTACCTAGGTTCTTCTATGTGTAGAATATAAAAGTGTGGGATGTGTCTACTCTTTGCAATACACTATTAAGTTTCCTGTGTTTAAAATGAGACAGATGTATTAGAGGTCATAGAGAAAAAGATAGAGAAAAAAGGTAAAAAATATAAAAAATTCGGCCATAACGAACCTCATGACGTTTGTTCATGTGGCGATCATAGACGCAGTAAATGTAGCTACCCAACTCGTAAAGAAAATTGTAAATTACAGTTTCCTGTCACTACATAGATTATTTCTTCACATAATATATACTACAATCAAAAAGTAGTTTCTCCATATTTAAATAATTTATGAGAAACTCGAAAGTAAGAGACTTTCAAATTATCATTTTGAACTTTACAAGTTTACAAGTGAATGGAAAAGTATGAGCTAAATATGATCATTATTCTTGTGATATATGAGATATAGTAATAGAGAAGGAAATGTATGTAATATTTTGCTTAAGCTATTGATAAGCAGTGTCTTATTTAGAATTAAGAAACCAAATCATTCAAATAATCAAAGATTTTAAAAAAAGATTATTAAATAAAAATTCAACTGTAAAAAACACTCACCAAACGTATGAACGATATGAACGCATTTTCAATGTTCCAAAACTTATTTCGATCTTCTTGACGCGTTCGCAAAACTTCTTGTTAATATGAGAGAGAATCTCGTCTTTGTATATTTTAGGGTCAGTTTAGTCAGTTAAACGAGAAGCACAACTTTTGCATAACATGTAATGCATAAGAAAATATATCAATCAAAAACCTTTGTTTCTTTCCTTTCCATGAAATAAAGAACTCTGATTGGTTGGATTTCTTATGTCTTATGTATTATGCATTATGCAAGAATCTGTGCTCTTCACTTTAGCCTTATAGTGGAAATATTGTAAAAGGTGTATTCGTTTTCGAGACGAATTTCGTATCATTTACGCATAATCAGATACGGCCATTTTAAATATGTATTTCGCAGTAATTTGAAGTGACATATTGGATATGAGTATGCGTCGAGTAAAAACGTGTATAAATAGTTTCCAAAAAGAAAGGTGCAAAAATTAAAATTTTTTTTTTCCAAAGGAAAGAACTTAATATATGGCGTTTTCGGCCCGACCAAGTTTGCACCAATTTGGGTTGAAGTAATGATGTTTCGTGCTCTTCTATTGGTAGAGCGTGTAACGTCAACCAATAGCGAAGCGTTTTCTAATTCAAGTTGACAGCAAACGCTAATAAGTTTCTGTTTTTTATCGCTGCACTTTCTGGTACACACAGTGTAAAAAACAGAAATTAATTTTCAAATGAGCAGTAGTCAGTATCTTTATTGTACTTAATCGGATCTTTAATTGAAAGTTTAGATTACAGTATTTATGTAAATGATACAGTATTTATATAAATTACCAATATCATAAAATACTCATAATTGAATAATTTTCAAATCGTTTGATACAAGTGACAAATTGAATTCTCGATCTCAATCGAGGAATTTGACAAATCTATTTTATCAATGAACATATCAATTAATCTATTGTTGATTAAAGTATCCAAATGTTCCTAGCTTATTATCATCTGACGGAATATGTATTGACGTTCGAAATTTTTTTATATCTTTTTATATTTTGACACTTCACCATTGATGGTTTTTAAATTTTCATTATATCCGTTATTTTTTATTTTAAGTTCCGTTAATTTAAGATTGTATCTCTGCGTTGTAGCACTGAAGAAGGCTTTGTAAGCCGAAACATTTGTTAATTATATTAATTTAAAGTTAATTTAAATATAAATATAAATTATAGCTCGAAATAAACCATGACATTGTGTTAATTTTTAATAAAAAACAAACCTATAATAACATAATGACATAGCCAACTTCAAATAACCGCGCCAACATGGCGGCTTCTGGATATCGCTCTTCTTATGTTTAAAATGCGCAAGAACATACCTTTTAGAGGCTCTGTATAATAAAACGAATTTCAACCTATCAGAAATCATGTGTCGTAGAATACACAGTTTCTGATAGGTTGAAATTCTTATTTTCTCTGTTCCTTTTGTTGCGCGGAGCCCCTTATACTTCCACTATGATCCTGACAGGAACGAAGGAAGGAAGAGAAAGAGGGATGAACGCCACTCACGCCGGGACGCAGAGTAGAGGCCAGAGATTCGAGTGAGCGTCGTGAACGATCGTTGAACAGACCCGAGTTGTTCGCGGTTCTCCGTTGGAATCGAGTATCTCTGACAGAGGAGAAGAAAACGGAAGCGTAGTGTCGCCGTGATAACTCGCGAAAGGGATTGAACGATATAAGTGGAGAAGAAGGAAGAGGCAGAAGAAGAACCGAAGAGGAGCAGTAACAGGTGGAACAGGTAACAACAAAAAGTTCGTTGCTCGAGAATCTACGACGCGCGTTTCGTGACTGCCTTCACACTGCTAGAGGGAATTAACGTTCGCTCGCGTGCGTGGAATTGTTTCGCGAGTATGGGAATACGCACGAATCGCACTGTTCTCGTTTCTCGACTCTTCGAATGATCGGAGCACGACGCGAATTGACACGAGACGACGCGATGCACAACCTAGTATCGATATTCACGCTAATTTAACGCGTAGTGTAGACGCGACCGTCGGTCGACCATCTCACTCCGTTTTCATCTCGCCTGAGCGAGATATCGTTTTGACAACTTTTTCGACTCGGGTGACGGAGAGGATTGACAAAAACGAGGATGATTGACGGAAAACTTCTTTCCCTCTCATGTGAGTCTCGCTGTCTCGCGAGTGGAATCTGTGTTGTGAAGAACTTGCTTGTGACGTTTTGCATTTGTCTATGTTACGATTTCACCGCTCAGTCGCAATCAGGGTAATTACGTTACGCGCCCGTGCATGAGTGACTCGTCTATACGTTTATACATCCAATGATTAATGAGAGATATTTCTCACTGTTAGATATTGAAAGAATAGGAAGGAATCCAATTCTTTGAGTTAAACATTTTGTTATTTTCAACTTTCGTCTCAGTTAAAATGTAAATTAATCCATTTCTGTTGTTAGTGTCAAAATAAACAAAGTCCTTATTAACGTATGCACTTACAAATAAATAAACTAAATTTGAGTTAAATTTAATTCTTAGTACACACGATTGGGTCATTCGTGTCCTGTACATTTTTTTTCTTCGAAAAACTAGGAGCATCAAGTAATTATAGTCATCAAGTTATAACACTTATATATAATTGTTTTAAATTTCACAACCTCATAAATACTTTCTAAAGTTGTTAAAGTGTAAGAATCACTTAATAATTTTTGTATATTTATTAAGGTGATGAAAATTAACTTAAGACAACGGATAACTCATTGCGTGTAATCTAATTATCGTGAATTATCGTGAATTATCGTAAATTATCGATCGAGAAATTATCGTTGTGTAAAAATTTATACATTTTTTTCTTAAATTGTTAACTCCGTTGTTTTAGTTTCAAGTTAATGATATATTGAGTGAGATGTAGTTAACGACTTATAGATATTATTAAAAATAACTCAAATTGAATATAATTTGATATTATGAATTTAACGATGCTTGAAATAATGTTAGATTAATTCGAGATAATATGAGTGCTTTTTATTTAAAGATACAAGTCGACATAGATATTCTATTTTTCTTAATATTCCAATAAGTAACAAAAATAGAACGATATCTGTGTCGATTTATGTCTAAATAGAAAGTATTAATTGCGCGGCGATTCTTGAAACCTTCCTTTTCGAAGGCGGCATATTTTTATCTCAAATAAAAATCTAGGCAAATAAAAATAAACAATATTATTATTTGCTTACTTTTTGAAGCTCAGCTCTTTGCACAATATTTTTATTTCATATAAAACATTTCGTATCATTTGTATTTCAATAATATTATTAAATTTCACTATTAAATTATTATTATTAATAAAATTATTAATAAAATTGATTAATATTTTATTAAATTTACAGTTATATTAAGTCTTACTTTTTAAATGATCATGAGAAATTTCAATTAACGGAATGACTGTCTAAATAAATTCCAAATCGTTAATATTTAAATATAAAGTCGGATTATGAATGCCCCTCCCCTTCGCCCATCTTTTAAAGAGTCATATAAAAGTGTCATTCTAATAAATTACCTAAATCAATTACAATTCTGAAAAGTTCTGACAGTTTAATTATCGAGTCGAGTTTTATGAAAACGAAAGAGAAAGCAAATTTTTGGAAATCGATCGATCTTTAGGATGAAGCATCCGATATAGCGTCACATTCGTTGAACTTTGTCTCCATCCGAGTAAGTCGTTTAGATTAGTTTCCGTATCTCCTTGCGACAACAATATTAGTTCTTCGCTCACACATATTTATGCATATGTTCCATCTCTATGATATTCATTGATGTAATCTCTTTACAGCTGCGAAACAAGACTGGTTTCGGGCCTTTCTCATCTAGAGTGCCTTCGATCAAACTTAATTTTAGTAACGATTAAGTTAAGCTCACTTAACTTAATCGTTAATCAATCATTCATAAGGCCGTGTGTTACTTGGAAGTGTATCTAAATTTTTTAAATATAACTCCCGATTGAATTTAATTCAGTGAGATACGCAATCTGTTAGCCGCATGTGGCTCACTTGTAAAGGATACCCAGTATTAATTATATGGGAAATTGGATTTCGATGAAATGTATTGATTTTTACATATATTATAATGTGATGAATAAAAAAAATGTTCTATATATACTGAAAAAAAGTTACTGGATTTTATTAAATATTTGTTTTTGTATAATATTAACGAAATATTTACTTACAGTAAATAAACATTTTTATTCAAAGTAAAAAAATATACTTAAATTAAATAAATATATATTTACATTTAGTAAATATTTCATTAGCATCATTCAAACAAATATTTAATAAAATTCAATAATTTTTTTCAGTGTACACATGACTTAAATAATAATAGATAGTTTTTTAAATTACGGTATTAAAGATGTTCTGTGTAAGCACAAGTTTTACACTTTTGATACATCATAAAAATTTTTGAATCATGTGTAGTCACGTTTTGTGTTCATTGATATCAAATTTTCTACATAATTAGTGTGGAGTCTTTTTTTGCAATTCGCCAACTCAAAAATAAAATATAGAATTATATTTTGTATTTTTTTGTGTAAATGACATAAATATTAGGCGATTCGAAAAATTTCGTTTCTAAAAATAAGCCTCTGAAATTGACCTTAAAAAATTGCACACCAGTGATTTAATCAATTTTTTATTTGTTGGAAAGATACATTTTTTCACAAGCTATAAAGAAATCCGGTTAAAAAATATTAATTCGTAGGTAGAACGAATTATATAGTTAAAAATTTCGCCGTAAGCGAAACCCTATTGGTTTAATCGATCGTCGTTTCATTAGGTTAGTTCGCCAATATGGCACTATAATTTTATTCTGATGATGACACTGTAATTTTATTCTGATGATGACACTGTAATTTTATTCTGATGATGGCAAAAAGAATTGCGTTACGTACGCTTATGACGCGTAAATAATAATATAACGGAATTCATTGATGAAGTATGAAATGTGGAATTCGTAAATGCATTATGCGTCATTAATAATGCAATATCCAGAAGTGAATTTTTTCTTGAAAAATTTAAAATGATAATTAATTGTGTTACATGTTAAAGAACAACGAGTTTGGAACAAATTTAACTTTTTAAAGTTTATGATAACATAAATCTCCTATCAATATAATATTGATAATACTCAATATAACTAAATTCTTTTCTCTATATGCATGTCAAGTTATTAAAAAATAATTTTTTTATTATGATAATATATTATCATAATATATTATCAATTTATTATGATAATATATTATAATAGATAATGAGGTGTGTGTTGAGTGTGTTGTGTGTGTGTGTATGTGTGTGTGTGTGTGTGTGTGTGTGTGTGTGTGTGTGTGTGTGTGTGTGTGTGTTAATATTTTATGGACTATAAATTATTACCTAAATTCTTGTTTCTGAATTAATTCAGCACGCCAAGTTATTAAATAATCATTTTTTCATTCTAATGATATAAGACATTAATGATGCTTTAATATTTATTCTGTAATTATATATTAATGTATTACATATTAATAAATTCCGGAGATTTTAGGGATTAGCGTTGCATGCTCGATAAAACGCTTGCCGCGTTGCATGAATTTATAAGTGTTTTCGTCCCATCTTTTCCCACCCGCATCGTGAGAGGACTTAACGACCACGTGCACGGCCGCACCTCACGCTGTCGCTCGCCACGAACTGTCACCGTCTATTTCCAGGCGGGATGACCTCACGCTGCGAGATTAAGTAATTCCCGCGGCACGCGTCTCGAGTGACATAATAAACGGGATGCCGCGGTCTGTAACCCGAATCCCGAGAGCATCTTCGAGAGGCTTGCGATCTCTCAGGCGGACGATACGCTTTAGTATAGTTCGCTCACAAATATTGCTTTTCGTTTAAGAAAAGATCTGTTTTTTACCTCAATAGGTCTGTTTTATGAATTGAAAAAATTCAGGCTTTTTGAAAAAACTCAACACACTGTTTGTGAGGGTTTTATTGGATTTCATTGGGGTTTTTTGGGTTTTTTAGAGGTTTTTTTTAAATAAAATTGATTATTTGGATATTTTTTTCATTTAATATTTAGTTTACGTTTGTATTTATCATTATTTAATTACATATTTAAAATAAAATTAATTATAAATAA